AGCGGCTCGCAGTTTCTTTAAAACCGCTCTGACAAGGTTGACATGTTCCTCTTTTGTTTCGGTGAAGATGAGAATGTCGTTCAAGTAAACAAGGACCCCCTTAAACAGGTGCTCCCTTAGAACGTCATTGATTAATTGCATAAAGACTGCAGAGCCCCCTTGTAATCCAAATGGCAAGACTTTCAATTGATAGCACCTCATGGGGCAGTTAAATGCGGTCTTCCATTCGTCCCCTTCCTTAATTCTCACGTAATAGTACGCTTCCCTTAGCTCTAGTTTAGAAAAAAATTTCCCTTTCGAGAGGTGTGACAGCATGTCTTTCATGAGGGGCAGAGGGTATAGGTTGCTTTCACTGATTGTATTCTGGGCCCTATAATCCACGCATAAGCATAAAGAGCCATCCTTCTTCTCTCTAAAAAGGACTGGAGCAGCCACTTTAGGCTTGGCTGGCTCAATGAAACCTCTCTCCAGGTTTTTTTTTATAAATCTTTCCATTTCCTCCTTCTCCTTTGGGCTCATGGAGTATAATCTGGGCTTCAGGAGTTTTGCCCCAGGCTTGAATTCAATGATACAGTCTGTGGGTCAGTGGGGGGAGGGAGCTCATCCGCCCTCTCCTCACTGAAAACTTCAGCAAGGTCTCTGTATTCCTCTGGTATTTCTGTTGGTCTCTTTTCCTCTCCTATGGATGCTTTTTCTATTCTTGATTCTGGTAGCCTCCCTTGGGTTTTTAAGTCCATAGGTCTCCCTTCGGGAATTTGATTTCTGTCGTCCTCCAATTTACCCAGGGGTTCCATTTTTTTAACCATTCCATCCCTAGGATCATTGGGCATTCCATGCCTGGGGTCACGACAAACGTTATGTCCTCCTCATGTTTGCCCAGGGAGAGGTGTATTGGTAGAGTGGCTAGGGTAGCTGGCACCCCCCCTGCTATGGATCCATCTAACTGGCCAAATGAGATTGGTTGTTCCAGTCTCCTCGATGGAATGCCCAGATTCCCCACTAGTGTTGGGCTAATGAGGCAGTGGGTGCAGTCAGAGTCTATTAAGGCTTTCACCTTCACGGTTTCGGGCATGGGGGGAATTAATATAGTCACTGTCTTAAGGATGGGTGCGATGTGTCCACTTACCAGGGGTTCGCCCTCCGAGCTTCATCTGAGGCATCCACTGGCCCTGCGGTGTAGGCTGGAGTTCTTTCCCCCTGATGAGCAGAAGTGGGGGATTCCGCAATTTCCATCATTCTCATGGCAGTTTCTTTTGGCTTAGCTGAAGACTTTCCGGATTTGCTGATTGGGGATCTGTCTGGGTTGTGCTGGGGGGCTTTGGAGCAGCATTCTACAGCTCAATGCCCTTCTCTTCCGCACTTGAAACACCCCATTTGCTTCTTGGCTGTAGCCGATGGTTTCACTGGTTCGTGTGTCAACTCAGGCGGAGAGCAGCTCCATTGTTTTCCTCGGCGGTGTCTCTTCAATATGTCGATCTCTGCTTCCTCTGCCAAGATGTACCATTCCTCAAGTTGGTGTGGTTTCCCTCGGGGCAGGCAAGCGTCATAGAGGTCATAATTTAGTCCGTCTTTGAAATGGCTAAGGAGGATGTCTTCTGGCCAGTTCAGTTTGTTGGCAATGGCCCGGAATTCTTGTGTATATTCAGCCATTAGGCCTTTGCCTTGCCTCATCGTTTTTATCCTTTCGCGGGCTTTGCGATCAGCCAGGGGGTCTTCAAATCGTCTTTTCAGAGAGGACATGAAATGGTTGAAGTCGCTGAGTTCTGGGGCATTGGAGTCATGCAGGTTCATCACCCATTCTGCAGCCGGTCCATCCAGGGGAGATTGCACGATCTAGATGCGGGCTTTGTCGCTGGGGATGTGCCACCCATATTCCTCCATGTAGCTGAGGACTTGGGTTAGGAAAAACTCCAAGCATGTTGGCTCCCCTTTGAATTTCACCTCCAACGGTGGACATCTTGGAATGGATCGGTGCCTCCGTTGTTGGTGGTAGTGTCTTCCGTCCAGATCGCCATCTGTGGTTCGGTAGGGGGTTCGGACTACTGGATCAGCAGATGTCCCCAGGGTTGCAGGTTCCACTTCCCCCTCGGTGTCTCTCCCTTTGCGGCTCCAGGAGCTGAAGTGTACCAAAGGAGGACCATAAAGCCCCTTTGTTCACCCCCTTCCCTTCATCGTATGGCAGAATCCATAGAAGGCAAAAATGGGGTTTTTTATAATTGATAACTAGAGATGAAATATAATTGGATTCTGACACTTTCTATTTCTATTTGTAGGTCTTTGTATTTTGTTATCTTCTCCAATTCTTTCTCATCTATTCTGCTGTCTCCAGGCAATGCCACATCCACTATCCAGACTTTTTTGTCTTTCTTATCGACAATTGTTAAGTCTGCGGTGTTATGTTGCAGGTGCTTGTCTGTTTGAATTCTGAAGTCCCAGAGCAGTTTAATTTTATCATTTTCTATGACTTTCTCTATTTTATGATCCCACCAGTTTTTGCTTACAGGCAAATGATATTTTTTGCAGATCTTCCAATGGACCATGGTTGCTACTTTGTCATGCTGCCGCTTGTAGTCAGTCTGTGCAATCTTCTTGCAACAGCTTACTAGATGGTCCACTGTTTCTTCAGCTTCTTTGCATAGGCGGCACTTACTGTCTGCTGCTTGCTTCTCAATTTTGTCTTTATATGCATTTGTCCTTAAGGCTTGGTCTTGTGCAGCCAGAATTAGTCCCTCGGTCTCTTTCTTCAATTTTCCTGCTCTTAGCCATTGCCAGGTCTTGTTAATATCTGCTTTCCAAGACCTGGCTATTATTATTATTATTAACATTTATTCCTGGAGATTACTTGTATTTTCTTTTTGTGTGAAGACTGATGGAAAGAATGAGTTAAGCAGCTCTACTTTTTCTCTACTGCCAATTACTTCCTTACCATCATCTTTCATTAGTGGACAGTTTCCTTGACTTTTTTATTGCTTTTTATATGTTGGAAAAAAACTTTATTTTGACATTGTTACAATTTTGACTTCATTCTGAGCTTTAGCTTTTCTGACTTCATCTTTGCACATTAGGGCTATTTGTTGGTATACTGCCTTACTTATATGCCCCCTTTCCATTTTTTATATTTATGCTTTTTTTCTTTACGTTTGTCAGAGTTCTTTGTGTAACCATGCTGGTTTCTTTTTTTATTTTTATTTTTCAGTAGTATTGTGCTGGATTGGGCTTTTATAATCATATTTTTCAAGTTTCCCAAACTTCTTGAGTTGTTTTTCCTTTAAAATTTTCATCCATAGAATCTTTCCCAAGCTTTCTCAGAATTTGTTAAAAAAAATTAAAGTTTGTTTAAAATTTGTTAAAACTATTTTACAGTTTAAGACATTAGTTTGATTATGTTCTATTGCTTTTGTTGCATTATGTTTTTGTCCATCGATTTTCGATGAAGACCTTGACATATTGTGGGTTATGGGCCATCAACGATGTGTCCATAGGTGGCTAATAAGACCGATGTTAGCACGGAATGTTCTGCCACATACTGAACAAAGAAATGTAGACACTGTTATTTCAGCATTTGCAGCTCTGGCTTTGCGGAGTGCTCGCTTTTCTTGTGCCAAGATTGTCCTTCTGTGTTCATATGTCTGGCAACCCTGGTACACCAAGGTTTGCACCTTGTGCTGCATTATATTATATACATGGTCAGTCTTACCCAAAGTTCCGGCAACTTCAACCCCCTCTATCACTTGTTCTCTGTTAGAATTAGGTACAGTATAGCTTTCCCCCTTGTTCCCTCCTCTATCTTTTAGATGACAAACTCGTCAGCGAGGATGGTCAGGAATCTGTTCAATCTCCCATTTGATGCAGAGTTTGTCTCCCAATTAATATCAGGTAGTTAAAATCCCATTACTACTGTTGTGTGTTTCCTACTTACATTTTTTTAATTGGTTAACAAAAAGTTCATTTATTCATTTATTTCTTCTGATTGGTTGGTGGCCTGTAGTATATGGCAATTGTTAAGTCTTTTTTTCTTTTGTATTGGCCTATATGCATTCTAGGTGGTTTTCATTCTTGGTTTTTTGAGTTTTGGTAGAAATGTAATGATCTCTTACATATAATGAACTCCACCTCCTTTTTATTAGGTTTGTTTCTTTTGAATAATTTGTATTCTTCCATTAGTACATTCCAATCATGAATTTCATCCCATTAAGTTTTAGTAATCGCAATTATATCATACCTGCCTTCATGTACTAGTACTTCAAGTTTATTGTTTGTACCCTAAACTTTGAGTGTTTGTGTATAGGCATTTGAGTCCTTCATTGCTGAACCTGGGTATGCTTCCTCTATCTTGTATTTTATATCTCAGTTTTTCTTCCTTTCCATCATTTTCTATCTCATCGTTTGATTGGTTGTCTTGGAGTGGTCACCCTTCTCCCTTATTTTTAGTTTAAAGCCCTTCTGATAAGTTGAGAGTCATTTTCCAAATATAGGTGTTCATTTTTTGCCAAAAACGCTTCAGTAGGTAGTGCAGACTATAGTCTAGGAATCCAAAGTCTCTTGACAGCACCAACCCTTAAACCAGTGGTTCATTTCTATAATCCTTTGTTTTCTCATTGAATGTTAATCTTCCCATGAAAACACCACTTGTAATCCCAACTCTTAACTTTCTTGCCTAAATAACTTAACTGATAATTGAGTAAGAGTCAGAGGTTTTTTTTTATCAGCTATACTCTGCTCTAAATATCAAAAAGGAGAACACGAAAAGCATTTTTTAAAAAATGGAATGGTAAATTAGGTTTTCTGTTTATTTCAGATGGAAGGGAGGTGGTATCTATTATAGTTGTAACGTAAACAAAATTAATGGAAACCTTGCTTAATAGAGTAATTCTAAGTATTGTATTTTTGCTTTTAGCTTTATTTACTATTTTTTTTCACTGAATAGCAAAATACATCTTAAATGACAAAAAAATCCATTTTTTTCTCATACCAGACTGAAGTGTTGAATCAGCAAGTATCAGGATCTAACACTCTTTGCATCCCATAAGACTATAAAACTGAAGATGATATATTATGTTGTCATGTTTCCTATCTATGGTATTGAGTTTTCTAAAACCAAAGATACTTGGAAGGTTCCCTGCTTGAAATTTAAATATAATTGCATGTTCAGAAATATAAAATTGCCAGGGGAATGCAACAATTTTTTAGAATGGAATAGAGTAACCGAGATTGAAGGGACCTTAACAGTCTTCTAATCCAACCCCCTGCTCAAGCAGGAGACCTTGTACCATTTTGGACAAATGGTTGTTCAATCTCTTCTTAAAACTTCCAATGATGGAGCACCTACTATTACAGAGGGCAAGCCATAGCACTAATTAATCACTGTTAGGAAATTTCTCCTTATTCTCTTCTGCCATATATTATTCATCATATAAATGTAATCACATAATATATTTTTCATAGACTTTTTCTGAAAAATCCTTTTATTTGGATTACAGAGTTGAAAGTACAGGAAAGTTACTAAACATAGCAAAAGGATTATGTTGAGAGTCTAGTAACAATGTTTGGCTCCATATGCCAGACTTCTGTTGCATTGAAGACAATGAGTTCCTTCATGAGGACTGAATGATCCTGGACTGCAAACCACTATAAGAAAAGAAAGAAAAACAAAACAAACAAAAATAATCATGTCATCAAATGTATTACTATTTGCTGTAATAAAATGAAAATTCCAAATTTAAAGCCAGTTAATTGCTTCAAGATTTATTTCCTAAATTTGGGGTTCACCTACAAAAATGTTTTAAGAAAAAATAAGGAAATAGGAAGCAGAAGTAAATATAAAATGTGTAAGACAGCGATCATAGATGCACGAAAGTTTGAAAAGACTCCATCAGTTATCTGCAACACATTGTATACAGCTAACATCTCTGCCCCATCCCATCATATTCTGAGATTTATCTTCAACTATATTGTGAATAATTACAGGTACAGAACATCTGGTATTGGATTTCTTGGGGCTTTGTATTTTATGAAAACTCATAAATGTTTTACAACTATTATGTTTCCCAAAAATAACACTCAGTCTTATATATATATTTTGTCTCCAAAAGAAGCATTAGGTCAGGAGATGTCTTATTTTTTCCACTGTCTTGCCTCACAGTGGCAGCACGAACAGCCCTGTCCAGCAGGAGCCCATGTGGCTGCCACCGGCCAACTTCTTCTGTGGCTGCTCAATGCCGCTTGCACACGTTTGGGCCCGAAGAATTACATTGTGTGGACTGTTAAATGGAATGTTTGCTCAAAGCAAAAGAGCTGTGGTATATCGTAGAAAATCCACCACGTGTTTGCAGCTGCTGATCAGAAAAGTCATGATCAAGCAATGGCTTATCTCATCTTGAATTTAGATGATGAACAATTTCTAAATGTTGCAAATTTAAAGACTGCAAAGGAAATTTGGTTGAAATTGAGAGCTGTGCACATGAACGTTTCTGCTTGCAACATAGTGCAATTGTCAAGAAAACTTTACAGGGCCTGTTTGCAACCAGGTGAATCTGTGGAAGAGCATTTAAATAAAATGCAAAGTTTATTTTTGGACTTAGAACAATGTGGGATTAAATTCCCTGAGTCCCAGAAGGTTTTATTGGTGTTGAACAGATTAGATAAAACCTGGGACACAGTTTCTGCCATATTTGAGTGTAAAGAAGAGCAAGAATTAAATTTTGAGGCTTTAAAGGTATGTTTGATTAATGAAGAAAGCAACATTTTAGGAACAGCCATGAGGAGGTGAAATTCCTGAGGAGGGGGTCCAGACTGCAAGTCTCCGGAGAAGAAACAAGGAGCAGATGGGACCAAGTTGCATAAAAAGAGAGATTTTGCAAGCAGAGAGCTCAGCAAGAAAAGAATTGCTAGATTTGTGGAGCAAACACACATCTGAAAAGGAACTGTTTGCAGAGGAACAATTTACAGCGAAGAACATTTGTGCAAGCAAAAAAGACTGATTTTCAAAAGGAACATTTTGGTGTTGCAAAAGTTTGCTATATCAACAACAGAGACAAGTGGCTAATAAATAGTGGGGCAAGTCAAACAATTGTTAATGACTCTGAATTATTTTGCAGGTTTGTTCCAGTAGCACAAGAAACTGTGGCTTTGGCAAATGGCCAGAAAGCAAAAGTCATTGGAAGAGGCGATATAAAAATTCCATATTTGGAATCAAAGTTTACTAACGTGCTTTGTGTACCTGAGATGGAACATAATTTGTTAAGTGTGTCTAATTTAGACAAACAAGGTTTTGAGGTCATTTTTGTAAATGGGAAGTGTCTCATCAAGAGGAATGGGAATATTTGTGCAGAAGGCATAAAGGAAGATAATCTATATGTATTGCAGGGACAAAAGGTTCAATGTTCCCATATATTTAAAAACGTTGCAGAGCATGATTCGTGCGTTCACCTTCTACATAGAAGACTTGGCCATGCAAGCTTTAAAGTTTTGCAGCAAATGCAAGGAGTTTGCAGAAGGGCTAAATTTGAAGGGATGCAAAACATATTTGGACTGTGCAGTATGCAAAGCATCAAAGTCAAAGGCATACCCAGTTTGTAAATATAGCACAAGACAAACAAAAAGAGCTCTAGAGCTGGTCCATGCAGATCTAGTGGGATCTATGCAAGCCAGTTTGGGAGGAGCAAAATATGCACTGGCAATTGTTGATGATTATAGCAAGTATTCATTTTGCTACTTGCTTAGAGCAGTGGTTCTCAACCTTTTTAATGCCGCGACCCCCAAGCGGTCGTAAGTCGAGGACTACTCAACCGGTCGTAAGTCGAGGACTACTCAACTGGTGCAGCACCGTTTGCAGAATGGGACTTTTGATGGGCTCAGCAGGGCAGAGACCGCCTGGACAATTCCTATTGGCTTTTGAAAGCAAATAGAATTAGACTCTATTCAAGAGAGTCTATTCTATTGGCTTTCAAAAGCCAATAGAATAAAAGGGAGTAGCACAGCTAAGGAAAAGGGGAAAAAAATGGCGGACTGCATTGTTTGGCGACCCCCGTGAAATGGACGTTTGACCCCAAATGGGGTCCCGACCCACAGGTTGAGAACCACTGGCTTAGAGGAAAGATAGAGCTGCTACAACAATGCAAACAGTGGGTAAGTTTTGTAGAGAGAAGGTACAGACAACAACTGTGTCAGTTGCAAACTGACAGAGGTACTGAATTTATGTCAACTAAATTCCAACAATGATTGGGGCAGTTGGGGATAAGACACAGACGTGCAAATCCTTACACAGCAGCAGAGAACGGTGTAGCTGAAAGAAGGAATGGTGTTTTGCAAACAATGAAAGATTCATTATTAGAGGATTCTGGTATGAGCAGGTCATATTGAGGAGAAGCCATATTGACTGCCAATTATATAGTTAACAGGCTGTGGAGTTCCTCCATTAATAATACTCCATATGCCATTCTATACGGGAGAAAGCCATCATTGGCACATTTGAGAATTTTTGGAAGTACTGCATGGGTACATATTCCGAAAGCAATCAGAAGAAAGGGACAGCAAAAGGCAAGAAAGCTCAGGTTTGTGGGCTATGAGCCAGGGTCAAAAGGATATCGCTTTAGCGATGGAAGTAAAAGAATTGTAATTTCAAGGTCTGCTAATTTTGCAGAACAAAATTGGGACAGAATTAATGCAAATTCTGGGTATGTCTCACTTAATGACGGTGATCTATTTAATGACAATAACTCATCTAATGATGGAAAAATGATTATTGATGTCAATGTTCAGGGAGGAGAGGCTGAACAAGACATGAAATCAGAAAGATTTGAGACACAGGAGCAGTTAATACCACGTAGGTCAGAGCGTTGTAACAAAGGAATTCCACCTGACAGGTATTCTGCTAGCAAGGTAAAGGTTTGCAATGTGTGGTATGAGCCAAGAAGTTATAAAGAGGTGTTGGCATTACCAAAAGCTGAACAAGAAAGATGGAAGGAGGCCATGGATAAAGAGATGAAATCCATAGGAGACCATGAAATATTTAAATCAGTGACTTTGCCACAGGGAACTAAAGCTGTGGGTTGTAAGTGGGTATATAAGAAATAGGTATTGCCAAATAATGATGTACAGTATAAGGCCAGGTTAGTGGCACAAGGTTTTTCACAATTAAAGAATTTGGGAGAAATAAAAAAAATATCTCGGTGTAGAGCTATAGAAAAATGAAAAAGGTGATTATATTCTCAGTCAAAGGAGAAAAATTGAGCAGTTATTGAAAAATAGAATATGAAAGATTGTAATACGGCTCCCACACCCATGAGTACTGATTTTTATAATAGTTTAAGTGCGGACAAAGGTGAAACTTGTGATCAAGAGATATATCACTCAGCAATAGGGAGTTTATTATATCTATCACAGTGGTCCAGACTAGAAATAGCTTGCACAGTAAGCATTTTGAGTTGTTTTACTTCTGCACCCACAAAGTTACATTGGATGGGTGTAAAAAGGATTCTCATATATTTAAAGGGAACCATAAATTTGGGTCTTCAAATACAGATTACTGAGGAATTGAAATTAAAGTGTTATGCTGATAATGACTATGCAAATGACATAAACACAAGGAAATCAAATTCTGGAATTATAATATTGTTTGGAGGGACTCTAATTGGATGGAAGTCCAGAAAACAAACAACTGTTGCTATTTCAACAGCGGAAGCAGAATTTATTGCTTTATCTGAATTGTGTTCTGAAGTAACATGGTATGTATAGTTGTTGCAAGATTTAAATATTAATGTAAAAGAATCTGTAAAGGTATTTGGAGACAATGCTGCCTGTATAAAAATGGCAACTGGTGACAGGCTGAAGAACAGAAGTAAACATGTAGACATTAAGTATTGTAATGTCAGGGAAGCTGTAAAAGGAAAATTGATTAGTTTACATCATTGTTTTTCTGAGGATAATTTGGCAGACATGATTACTAAACCATTGGGTGGTGTTCACTATGGAGAATGTATTAAGTCAATAGGTCTGATGTCTCTTCCTGTCATGAAGGGAGGAGTGTTGGAATATTCATGAGCAGGAAGAGTCATGTGGTAACTCAGTCAGCCAATGTGAAGAAAGTACTTCTGAGTCTGTGCAAAAGGGTACTGAGTTAGAAGCTGAATTTTCAGTCTTGGGTTTGTCTCTGTATCTCTCTGTAAGAAGTATTCATTGAGCTATGTTGCTGTAAAAAAGAATGTATTGTATTGTAAATATTTTGATATGAATATAAAGAGGTTATTTTGAATCAGCTAAATGCAGTCAACTGTGAGAGCTTCTGATTTATTTTTCACCAACAGAGAAATTAAAATTCTCTAACAGAGGCTTTTAGGAAAGGCCTCTGCAACCGAGAATGGAGGCCTGGGTTTCTTGAAGGCCTCTGCCCGTGAAACGGAGCCCGGGGGATGATGTGCATGAATGGCCACAAAGTGGGCTGGCGGTGGCCATGCGGGCTCCTGCTGGATGGGGCTGTTGGTGCCGCCATGAGGCAAGTGTCGGGCATGGGAGGGCTGGCTGCAGGGCCTCCAAGGTATGTGGGTGCGGAGTGCATGGGGCAGCTCCACTCCCTCTCCCACTTGCCTCGCCTCACCTTGTGGTGGCAGCACAGCAAACAATCAGACTGG